ATTGAGGGGTCCAAAGCAAGAACAGGTTGAATCCAATTTTTAGTCAAATTTAGTCAACAATACATTCTTGCATAGTTTAAACTGCTAAATCGAATGCTGCAAAAACCGGGCTTCTAACTAGATAAATGAAAATAATAATTATATTGTTTTGGTTGTCTGCCATCCTGTATCCTAAAAGATTAGGCAAGGACCGGTTTTTGCTTAGTTCGACGAAATGTTTTGATGACGGCAAGTGTTTTTTGTGTGTTTGTGCCAGTTATACGGTGAAAATTTGAAAAATATTGGCTGATTCATCAAGTAATGATCTTCTTGGTGTACCCATACAGATTCTAATAAGGATTATACATCAACAAGGACCACAACAACAAATCCTAAACATAACCTAACACTATTCGATAGTTCAGAGTCTAGAACTAGATAGGAAAGTCATGGGTTGGACACATCAGATGTTTTTTTACTAAAAGAATAATTCATGTACTTCGTTAAAATGTAACGAGTCAGTTGCGGAATCAGTTTTTACAGAATTTATTTTTAGAATAACAAAGTTTAGGTTCCTGTGTCATTACCTAATGAGAAAAAATTGTATTTGGGTTCAAGGATACCTAAAAAAACAAGTTTGACCATGTTATGACACTAACAATAAACTATGTACCTCAATGCGTTGCAATAGTTTTATGACCATATTAAAGAATACCATACCATTCTTAAGGAAGCTAATATTGACACTTCAGTCACCGAATTTAGTTCCAAAGATTAGGTACAATATGTCTTACGTACTCATATCTCATCTTCAACATGTATTGGTTTATAATGTATTTGATAAATAAATATTTTTGCCTATTTGCAGTTTTAATATTAATTTAAAAAAACTCCAAAACTGGCAATAACCAGCCAAGTCTATTAATAAAAGAGTTTACGTACATTTGAAACACAGTTAAAATCTAAGGACTTAATTTTTTGTAAATTTTTAATTCTACTCATTTTATAATTATTGTTTTTTATCTCCTGAAAAATTTGTAAAAGTGGACTTAGACGGTTCTTAATTTGGATCCTTTAATTATCCAATGTAGTACGGGCTGTTACCTAAAACTCCTGCTTTCAGGACCCTATATCCCAAAGCTCCTTAATGTAAAACCTAAAGGTTTGTGTAGTAAATTGTGTGCCAGAGGTAAATATCTTAACACATTGTTTTAAAAGTTTTGTTAGGTTTAGAATTAAGACAATTAATTGATTTCCATATAAATGTCAATTTTTTCTTTTTCGTCCCAAGTTTATACCCATATCATATATAAAGTCCAAACTATATGACCAAATAGGGAGTTTATGATGGCACAATGTTGCGTATTACGTTTAATTATCAATTAAGTCTTTATAAAAAAGTTTGGATATATTTATCCAATATCCAATAGTGCTTTTTACTCTTAAATATAAATTGATTATTTTTATTTATTGTTATTCTCTCATACCTTTTTAAAACAAGTTTTGAAATACAATCATTTGAGAAAAATCGACGATTTTACCCCAAAGGACTAGACTATGCTTTTATTTTATTTTTATTGTTTCTTTGCCATTGATAAATGGATATTCCTTTCGAACTCCGGATCCCTTTGGCCTAATAGTATTTGATGTTCTATTGCCTAGTTATTGCTAGAAAGCAGGCTAGGTGTGGGTGATCGGCTTCTCTGGAACGCATAGCTGCTGTAATTATTTCATTATTGGACTTCGGGTGTTTGATATATAAGACTTTCTGGCTTTATTCCCTGGTGCCTGATTTATAGAACGAGCCCTGCTTCTGCAGGTCCTTTGAAGGTGCCCGATTCTTCCGTAATTAAAGCATGTCTTGCTTCCATTTTGGCTGCTTCGTTTTATATTTATAGGATATATATAGGATAGTTAACATTTGTTAGAGGATAGGTTGGGGAATAGTATAAGTAATGGATTCACTTTCCTGGGATTTAATTTCTCCCATTTGGATAGAAGTTTATCGCTTCATATTTCTGGGCTGCAATCAGTTTCTCCCTCAGCGTCTTGTGATGATGTAGTTGAAGGGCGTGCTGCATTTCCACATCTTGTAGTCCATCAATGAATGCCTGTACTCCTATTTGTTCTTGGAAATCTTTAGGTGCCTGTGGATAGGCCAGATAAATCAATTATCTTATGTCGGCCTCGAATCCCTGTAGACTTTTATTATGTTTCTGACTACGAACCTTTAGCTGGCTTTGGAATACCCATTTCAAATGCTGCTGGTCATACCTTGTCTCCTAGGTTTGTACGAAAGACGATAAACTGGATTTCCCTGAAGGGGGTAACGGTTGCTGCCTGTCCTCGTAGCGACACTATCAATGAAGCTAACATCTCTTTTTCAGCCCAGCCATTGCCTCTAGCTGCAGCTTCAAATTGGAGTCGATACGTTTCCCATGTTGCCTGACCGTAAAACGTTAGTGTCTTAATGGTCTTGCTAGTATGGCTTTGTGAAACTGGGTTTTGGATATGGCTTGGTTTGGTTATAGATGAGGACGTGGTAGTGTAAGCAGTTTCTTTGTTGCTTTGTTGCTTTGTTGTAGTGTAGCTAGGCTACAAATTCTTCTTTCTAATACAACTAGTTCAGTTCTAATTTGCCGCAAAATGGGAAATTTCCCCCCGGTTGGCATTACTGTTCGTGACTAATCACATATTTAGGCCGGCGTTTTAGTGGTGGGAAAAGCTTTACTTTACTATATTCCCCGATCAAATAAATGTAGAGATAACAGCTTTCCGCGGATTAACTGGAAACATTTAGGATTCATTAGCTATTCGTCTAGATGAACAGTTACGATTTTGGGTCTAATATTTTCTAGTTTCTGGACATTAAATCTGCCATTTGCCACTCATCCCTTGCGTCGTTATCGTACCGAAACTTTTAGTCCCTTCCTGACACCTGTGTATAACTCGGTTTAACCTTCTAGAACCTTCCCGAACGTCCAGATATTTCTTAACGTGGAATAACATTTCTAGACATTTCTCGAATATTCTCCCTTCTTATTTTACTCGCACCTTTACTTACGACGACCGCAGACTATTATATAGGGTGATGAGTAACATTATCTTGATGACAGTAGTAAAAGACCTATCAGTTGTGACAAATGGTTCTTCAGACTAGTTGGTTGTTACATTTAGTGACATCAATGGACCTTTGAGCTAGTTGGTTGCTACACATTAGCCTTTCTTGTTTTCGAACACATTATATAGTTAGTCGATTATATTATTTATTTTATTTTAAATATCTTGCTCCAGTTTATAAGCATTATGCAAACAATATTTGATTATTTTATTTAATATATGTCCAAATAGAAAATTGTTAGGAGTTGTGAGGTCTACAAATCGTAGAGGCCATAATCCTTTACTATAATTTGGTCAATAAAATATCCTTTTATTAGACCAATAGTAGCACTAGTCGTATGAGCTGTTGCTCATTTAATCTTACTACGAATACATGCAGCTCCTCACCATCATGTAGTTTAACAACAAATTTACAATAAATATTTCTATATCGTCGGGCACTAATTTTGTTCTAAGAAAATATAGGATGTAGACTTTTACGAATAAATGAGGATTCTTAGTTGCCCATGTTTGCTAATGTTGAATGTTAATATATTTCAAAATAGCAGTATAGGATGGTGTAATTGAAATTTTTATATAATTTTTTTACGGTGTATATCATAAAAAAACTCTTGACACTTTCAGCCAAGAAGTTATCTTGAATGAACCGAAAGTAAAATAAACTCCTTTAGGAACAGCTTTTCATGCATGAATTCGCATGGCTAACGTCAAAAGGGACACGTCATCGCCCTAAGAATAATATTTCTGAGAAGTTAATGCAACAGACTGATTTTATCGCTCGAAAAACGCAAATGGATGAATAAGAAAGGAAAAAGTGGAATTTATTACGAGGCCTGGATTTGAAATCAGAAAGAAATATCATTTTCATAATTAAATGTAAAACGCAAATGCTATAAATTAATGAGTTCGTATTTATTCAATACGGTTACGACTTTTAAAATGGAAGCATTAACGGAATTGGTGAAGTCAGAATGAATTGAAATGATGAAGGTATCTTAACGAAGAGAAATTAATTTAGTCGCGCGCTGAGGGAAAAGTTTAACTGGATCAGTTAAAAAGTTTAAGTAAATAAGTCTCAAGAACTTTATGTCCCGGTGAGGAGCCAAACTGCTTGCCTGGCATCTACTATTTTTTTAGAACCATGTAATCCCAGTCACTCAAGGGTTTCGCAAAACTAACTTGCTTTTTTATAAAATTCAAGAAAGTAACGAAAAAACAAAATAAAAAAAAAATCTTTATGAAATAAAAAAAACTAATATGTAGCTCTTAGATTTACCATCGATTTTTACTTGGTTTAAGCTCGTTTTTTATAGTGATTTTCATATCAATTTAAAGTAGTTATTGTAAGTCACACATTTTTGTATAAATTGTCATCTAATATCACCTGTGTAATTTGTTGTTACTAAAATTGTTTGCACACAACAATTTTTTTGGGCCTATTCTTATCTACATAAACTGATAGCTAAAACAAAAAGAATTCCGAAAAAAAACCTTTTCCATTATATTGCGTTCAATGGCAGGACAATTTTTTGACTGGGTTTCTATAATTTTATTTTAAATAATTGATGAAAATTATGATGGTTTGTTGTAAGTGTGAAGAGCCACTTAGTAAGGATGCTGCTACATTGATGTGTGATAGCTGTGACCGAGTTGTCCACAGAGAATGCTCTGATCTCAATGCTTCTGAACTAAAAATCATGGACTTGAAGGGTAAAAGACTTCTTAGATTTTATTGCGAGGACTGTCAGTCTGGTTGAGGCTGATTCTTTCTCTGATTGCGAAAATTGACAAATCGAAAACGGAATCAAAGTCTCTACTTGATAAACCTCATGGAGTCGCGGTATCTGAAGAAAGTATCATCAAGGAATTAAACGATAGCCAAAAAAAGAGCAAGCAATATCATGATTTATAATCTTCCTCAAAATAATAATCCACATAAAAGAGATACTGCTGAAATCAAGGACATAATAAAAGAAGTTACAATTGGAAATCGCGTTATTGAAATTATTGGAGTAACGAGATTGGGAAAAAATAATCGCAATGGAGCACGACCTTTAAAAGTAACTTTTAATAATTTTGATGCAGCTATGATAGTGATTAGGAATAAGAAGAAAATTAACAAATGTAGAAAGATTTGCATTGATTTGGATATGACTCTTTTGCAGAGAGACAACATGAAAAAACTAAAGGATGAACTAAAGATTAGGAAAGACAATGAAGAAAATGTTTCAATTAAATATGTTAATAATACTCCAAGGATTGTCATCAGCAATTTAAACTTAACAAGCCCAAAAGTCTACAGTTAACATGTATATATCAGTACGTTAGAGGTCTTAATACCAAGGTTGATGAATTTTACTCCTACGTATGTGATAGTGAGTGAAACCTGGATTCAACCTGCAGTCAAAAATTCAGAACTTTTTTTGGAGAAGTACCAAGTGTTTAGAAAAGATCGTGATCTTAGCAGAACTAGCTAGTCAACTGGTAGTGGCTTTTAAAAATAACATCTCGTGTGTTTAAATTGATACAACTTTCTTTGATCAAAATTTTGTAAATATTGATTTAATCATTTGCAAATGTCTACTCGTACATACTTCGTTTATGTCAATTTTGGTATATGTTCCCCCCTCTGTTTCACTAGATATGTTCGAGTCATTCTTTGAATGTCTAGAAGGACTTGAAATGTTGCATAATGGAAAAATTTAATTATAGGTGATTTTAATATTGCAGAGTACGTCAACCATAATATTCATGATAAAAGATAGAGTGTTATTGATAACTTTGTAAAGTTTTATGATTTAGTCTAATTTTATAACGTTTAAAATTATACGGGTCGCTTGTTGGATCTCGTTTTTTCTAACATGGATTGTGATATAACTCGTAATGTACCTTCTATTGTCAGTGAAGATTCATATCATCCTTTTTTATATATCCAAGTTAATAATCTTTTTAATGTTCCCAATATATTTGAACCGAATTCAAAACGAAAAGCATATAACTTCAAGCGTGCCAATTATTTGTTACTATATGAAGCTCTCATGAATATTAACTGGGATTATTTATTGATATACAAAGATGTAAGCGATGTTTTATATCAGTTTTATATTACCTTGTACTCAATTTATAACCAATTTGTTCCAACTTACAAGAATTACAAGCGTAAATTCTCTCCATGGTTCGATTCCGTCATTATTAGAAATATTAAGAATAAAGAAAAATATCTTAAAAAATATAAAAGAACAAATGATAAACGTTTCCTAGCACATTTTAAACTAATCTGATCGCAAGTCAAATAGCAAATAAAGTATGCTCATCAATATTACATCAATAAAGTCCAGGGCAGTATAACAACTGATTCTCGCTTGTTCTGGTCATATATTAATTCAAAACATAAAAGTTCACGTATTCCAGGCACCATGGTGCTTGAAGACGAATGATTTACGAATCCTCAAGATATAGTTGATAAGTTTAGTCAATTCTTTGAAAGTGTTTTTGTAACATCATCTGAGCCACAGCAGGACAGGGCTAGTTTATTTGAATCACAATTCTACGGTAATATCATTAAAATTGGCAATATCACCGATTCAGACATCGTACAAGCCAGTAAAAAAATAAGCAATAAAATGACCTCTGGTTCTGATGACATTCCCTCATTTTATGTTAAAGACTCTATTTATGTACTAGCCCCTCCATTAAACATAATATTTAATTTAGCTTTAAAAACAGAGAGCAGAGCGGTGGAAAGAGGCAATAATTATTCCTGTTTTTAAATTAGGTGATAAGACACAAACCAAAAACTGTCAAATCTGTCGAAAATTTTTGAGATTGTCATTTATAATCACATATATTCTTCAGTCCGCAACCTAATATCGCCTTCGCAGCATGGTTTCTTAAACAAAAAGTCTACAGAAAGTAATTTACTTGTAATAACTCAGCACTTATCTGAAGCGGTTGATGGAGGTAGGCAAGTGGACGTTAGTTACACTGATTTATCAAAGGCTTTTGACAGAATGGATCATAGGATATTGATTGATAAATTGAACCAATTTGGTTTTTCTTAGACCATGATAAGGTTCTGCATGTCATACCTTCTGGAAAGGCAGCATTTTGTCTTTCATAACGGTCATTCGTCACAAGTGTACTTTGCAAAATCAGGCGTCTATTTTAAAGTTTAGAGATACATATTGCTGTCGGTCTTTAAGAATTTTAAAGAGTTGCCTCTAATTCCATATGCCTCCAATACAGATAATAATAATAATATTAATAATTCATGATCCAAGCAGTCCAATGCCCAACCTAAATCACAGAATATCGCCACAGGACACTCGGCTGCTTCAATATGTTCAATAATCTGATTTTAAAATGAGATCATGGCTGTTGTTGTCGTCAAATTCAAAATAATGTTTCATATATGGAGTGTAGAGGAATGGAGGAAAATCTTATATGGTTGTTTATACCAAAAAGTGTCCACCAAAACGTATAAAATTAAGATAGAAGGGAAAATCCAATGACATATAGTGATATAGATTATTATTACATTATTACACGCAGGCAACTGATAAAGCATATTTGCGAATGGTATTGTCAAGGGATGTGCAAAAGTTGGCAAAACAAGTTGTTGAATTCAAACAAAAAAATGAAGCAAGAAAAAAATAAGTTTTGCCTATAGTTTTTTTATTAGTTTTTATTTCTAATATTGCATTTTTTGTTTAATATGTATAAATACTTGAATTTAAAAAAAAAACAATAATCCTAGCAATTTTTTCTTGCTAGGTGTAATCTAAATTGTGGATACCAATAAAAAATTCCCTTTGCAAGCATTTTTGTCTTTCGGTTTTGCTACTTTCGGTGTAAATATAGGAATTTGCCTAAACGAAAAAAGTTATGGGTTTTAGAAAATAGTCTACCGGCACTTATACTATAAGTGAAAATGTATTAGAAAGTTATCAAACATTTTACAAGTTAATTTTCAATTATTTAAAAATTTAATGATGTCAACTTCCGTATTCAACTTTTTATATCTCATTCAAATAACAGTCTGTATCATAGTTGAACGAAGCTATTATATAGTTGAAATGAATAAATAATGATGTATCATTAGGGAATAAATTAGTGATGTCTGCGTGGATTTTCGATAAATGCTAAATTAAATTGATGTCATATCAAGATGATTAGGTTCATTATCTTGCTCGATTTGTAAGGAAAATATTTGATCATTTATTTTATATGGATTATTGATATTGAATAAATAAACTGTTTTGGTACTATGCCAGGAGAATCTACAACTTTTTGGCAGGTTATTATTACTCACTATTTAAAATTGATATAATAGTATATTATTTAACGAGCGGTAATGCAGGTCATAACTCACGCAGATGAAGTTAGATCAAGTGAGTTACGACCATTACCGCAAGTTGAATACTATACTTTATCTACGACTATAACAATAAATACTAAGATACAAGTATCGAGAAAGAATTATATAATTGACTAAATAATAAAAACGTTTGAATCTTTGTTAAAGCTATTACCTTTGTCTTCAGATAAAAAATTATAGATAATAATATTAGCAGTAACTTTTATTTGAAGAATTTTCTCCTCCAAACATAAATAACAGATATATTCCATAAAATATAAAAACGGCCTCTCATAAAGTACTCCCCCAGATGTTCCGTCTTTGTCCAAAATCTAATCATTTCACGTAAGGCCGAAATAAAAAATTAAGTTTAAAATTTAATGTTTTTTCTTTATCCGTTTTTGAGTTTTCTTCAAAATTCAAAATTTACACATTTTCTCAAATATCTCGAATACGGTTTATTTTGGAGAAATTATGTATAGAATAAAAATTATAGAGAATTATATTACAAATAACTTTTATTTGAATAATTTTTATAAAAAATAACTTTTTTACATTTTGTCAAATTTCTGGAATACGGACCATTTTAGGAAAATTTTGTATAGATCAAAAATTATACATAATAACATTAGAAGTAACTTTTATTTAAAAAAATTTCTTCTCTAAACGTAAATAACAGATATGTTCCATAAAATAAAAAATGACAGGCACACACACAGACACACACACACAGACACACACACAGACACACACACAGACACACAGACACACACACACACACACACAGACACACACACACACAGACACACACACACACAGACACACACACACACACACACACACACACACACACACACACACACACACACACACACACACACACACACACACACACACACACACACACACACACACACACAGACACACACACACACACACACACACACACAAACACACACACACACACAGACACACACACACAAACACACACACACCTATACACGTTTCACCATACATGTGGGCCCATGGGAATAATACCGTACTGTGGGGACATTGAAACTGCGCACATAGCAATATAGATCTCCTCGCGCTGATTCTAACGCTATCTTTAAAATATCTATACACTCCAAATAAACACCTTACACACTATGAAAAAGTTGTGGGGTCAGACCCTACAAGTATTTAGACGTCAAATATGTGTATTGGTGTCCTTTTAATTATTGTAACGTTGGAATGCTGGTATACGTGAACCCACAAGTAATGTAGATATTGTTTTGTGTATGAGTGTTCCCATAAATATATGAGTCTACTTATGTTTGTTTTCCTGTACTCAGAACTAATGCATAATATAAAAAGATACACATAAACTCATAAGAAATGGAAAACCAAATTTTAGTGTAATTTAAACAAGAAGATAATATAGAAAAAAAAAAGGATTGGTTAAAGTTATATAGTGGTATGTAATAATTTCTAACAAATCTTTATACATTTCAATTAAGATATCTGTTTAAAAGTTTTGAATTGACACTTGCTCTGGCATAAAAATATGACTTACATGTTCGCCCTGTGGAGCAGGAGGACAGAATAGCTCTATCCAGACATTTACCTTTGGGGTGGTAAAAGCCCACCAAATGGCCACTTTTAGAAAAGGGGCATCTAGTGACGCTGGTGATGTTATTAGCCTGTAGGACTCGGCGATTTGTCAACCAGCAGGCTTTTAACTAATTGAGAGGCAGGTCCTATTTATCCCGGGAGGATGCGTAATGGGTCTACTGAGGCGTAAGTAGAAGTGAAGCAACCCACCCTCCCCATCCTTACAGACACAGACAGATGAGTACAAATTAAAATAAATCAATATAAATTAAAATAAATTAAAATAAAAAATATTAGACTTAGTAGCTTTGATGACAGTAGCTTTTCTTCACCCAATATTAGAAATCTCATTCCACC